CATCACTTTGGGAGGCCAAGGCAGGTGGATCACTTGAGGTCAGGAGTTCAAGACCAGCCTGGTCAATAGGGTGAAAGGCAGCCATCTCTACTAAAAATACAAAAATTAGCTGGGTATGTTTTCAGGCACCTGTAATCCAAGCTACTTGGGAGGCTGAGGCAGGTGTATTATTCCAGGAAGGTGGAGGTCGCAATGAGCCAAGATTACACCACTGCACTCCAGCCTGAGTGACTGAGCTAGACTTCATCTTAAAATAACAATAATAATTAAGCTGACTTTTAACCATGATGATCTTTTTAAAAAAATTATTTAATTCTCTTATTATTTGACTTTAGCCATGCCAAACTGCCAATATTTCTGATTTTTAAACTTTACTAACAACTTCCCAGGTGAAACCAATAAGCTTTTTCCTTTTTCTTTTTCTTTTCTTTTTTTTTTCGGATGGCATCTACCTCTGTTGCCCAGGCTGTAGTGCAGTGGTCAACCTCTGCTCACTAAACAACCTCCACCTCCTAAAACCAATAAGCTGTAACTAAGGTTGTAAACCTAACCACAAGCGTACAAAGTGTTTTCAAAAAGGTGGCAAGCAGTTTCCACAAAATCTAGAATCTTCAAAGGAAGCTCAGAGAAAGAAAAATCCAAGATGGTTCATGGAGGGGAAGAGAATCAGCAAATGTTCACGGAGATACCAAATCAGAAATGACTCATTTCCTAAGCCAGAAACTGAACCCCGAAGCCAGGCTAGCACTGTGAGGCAGCAAAGCCCAGCTACTGAGCTACAGCACTGAGCAGTCTCTACTGGAGTCTCCCAGAAGAAGCATAGAGCTGACATCACAGGCAGGAGCTACTGTATCTGGCTTGTTTCAGAGACTTCTGACCAGAAGTTTCAACATGTGGTCTCTGGGCAAGATGGTGGCCGGGATAACAGAAAAGAGAGGAAAGGGAAAGAGAGACAGAGAGAGAGAGAGGCATTGCCTATGGCCCAGCAGGAATGGTGAAGCGCTCAGGAAAGCCAGAAAAAGAGCCATGCATTGCACTGAATCAAGCTTAGGTGGCTGCTTGTTGGTTGGGAAAGAATCTTTTTTAGAATTCCAATCAGCTCTCAAGTTTCCCACATTAGGGAGGAAAAGGCTTCCCATGTTCCATGATTCTGTACTGTTCTAATTCTGTCAGCCACAGCCATCAGCAAAAAGTGGAAAGCATATCAATCCAAAGACAGGGCCGGGTGTGGTGGCTCATGCCTATAATCCCAGCACTTCGGGAGGCTTAGGTGAGTGGATCAGCTTAGGTCAGGAGTTCAAGACCAGCCTGGCCAACATGGTAAAAACCTGTTTCTACTGAAAATACAAAAATTAGCTGGGCATGGTTGCATGCACCTGTAATCCCAGCTACTTGGGAGGCTGAGGCAGGATAATCACTTGAACCAGGGGGTGGAGGTTGCAGTGAGCCGAGATCTGGCCATTGCACTCCAGCCTGGGTGACAAGAGGGGGACTCTGTGTTAAAACAAACAAACAAACACAAAGACAATAGTGGTTAACATTCCATAATGCAAATTATAATCCTAGCTGAGAGAGACTTTACTGAGAGGGGCCTCTAACTCCCTAAATCTTAGGAAAGTCTCTCACCTTTCTAAGTTGCGCCTCAAACACAAGTTTTGTCAAGTGTTCTTGCCTTTTATTAAAAGGGACCTTTTATCTTATCTGTCTTAGGAGACACTCTAACTCCCTAAAGTGGACTACTAACCCAATCCCATTCTTTACCCAGGTACGCCACCACTTAGAAACAGCCAATTCGTGACTCAGTCTATTTCTTTTGGGTTGGAGGTTTCCTTAGTATCATCCCTTTGTGATTCACTGAAAAGAAGCTTCCAGAAATGGTCCCAATCCAGAACCGAAGAGTGGGGTCTTGGATCTTGTACAAGAAAGAATTTAGGGCCAGGGTTGATGGTTCATGCCTGTAACCCCAGCACTTTGGGAGGCAGAGGTTGGTGGATCACTTGAGGTCAGGAGTTCAAGACCAGCCTGGCCAACATGGTGTAACCCCATCTCTATGAAAAATACAAAAATTAGCTGAGCATGGTGGCATGCACCTGTAATTCCAGCTACTCCGGAGGCTGAGGCAAGAGAATCTCTTGGACCCAGGAGGCGGAGGTTGCAGTGAGCTGAGATAGCACCATTGCATTCTAGTCTGGGTGTGTTTCTCTTCCTTTTATCTTTTACACCATGTAAGGTAACTTTCTGCTGTTGCCATGGTATTTGCTAACTGTCATGGTGCTGGTGGGAACGTCTCTAGCATGTTAATGCATTATAATCAGTGTGTAATGATCCCTGAGGACATTCAGAGGTCACTTTCATTCCCATCTTTGTTTTGTTGGATTTTTGTGGCTTCTTTACTGCAAACTATCAGCAAGATCTTTGTGAACTGTATCTTGTGCCAATCTCCTATTTATTCCGTGACTTAGAATGCCTAACCTCATAGAAATGCACTGTTAGTCTAAGCCCCATTTTACCCAGCACCTGTCCAGATGCAGAAGCTCTGGTTCAAAGGCATCTGAGGTGACTACAGAGTGCTGGATGTGGCTGGTCTTAACTGCCATGTGCTAGAAAGTTAAAATACAAGGTTACACTCAAAGATTTAGCTTCAGTAATGTATACATTTTATTAACCATTGCATACTAATCACATATTAAAATAGTATTTTTGATATATTGAACTGATTAAATTGTTGCAATAAATTCCACCTGTTTCTTTTGTTTTCATTTTGAGATAGAGTTGCTCTGTCACCAGACTGGAGTGCAGTGGCACAATCTCGGCTCACTGCAACCTCTGCCTCCCAGGTTCAAGCGATTCTGTTGCCTCAACCTCCCCAGTAGCTGGGAATACAAGTGTCTGTCACTACGCCGGGCTAATTTTTTGTATTTTTAGTAGAGACGGGGTTTTGCCATGTTGGTCAGGCCAGTCTCAAACTCCTGACTTCAGGGGGTCCACCACCACAGCCTCTGAAAGTGCTGGGGCATACCACTGTGCCCAGCCCCTCCTTTTTCTTTTTACTTTTTAGCATTCGGCTACTAGACAATTCAAAATTTACTTGTGGTCCATATTTTAATGCAGAGATTGCCTCCTTTTCAAAATCTCAGGCTGCCCGATTAGTCCATTTTCACACTGCTGTATTGTTTATACAAATTCCTCAGACTGGGTAATTTTTTTTTTAAGTGGTTTAATTGGGCCAGGCGCGGTGGCTCAAGCCTGTAATCCCAGCACTTTGGGAGGCCGAGATGGGCGGATCACGAGGTCAAGAGATCAAGACCATCCTGGTCAACATGGTGAAATCCCGTCTCTACTAAAAATACAAAAAATTAGCTGGGCATGGTGGCGCGTGCCTGTAATCCCAGGAGGCTGAGGCAGGAGAATTGCCTGAACCCAGGAGGCGGAGGTTGTGGTGAGCCGAGATCGCGCCATTACACTCCAGCCTGGGTAACAAGAGCGAAACTCTGTCTCAAAAAAAAAAAAAGTGGTTTAATTGAATTATAGTTCTGTACTGCTGAGGAATCCTCAGGAAACTTCCAATCATGACCATGACAGAAGGTGAAGGGAAAGTAAGGCACATCTTACATGGTGGAAAAAGAATGGGGTGGGGGGTGGGGGGGGCGTGTCACAATTTTAAGCGATCAGATTATCTCGAGAGCTCCCTTACTATCACAAGAACAGAATGAGAATAATCCGTCCCAATGATACAATTACCTCCACCCGGTCCCTGCCCTGACGAGAATTACAATTTTTTTTTTTTTTTTTTTGAGACGGAGTCTCGCTCTATAGCCCAAGCTGGAGTGCAGTGCTGTGATCTCGGCTCATCTCCGCCTACCTGGTTCAAGCAACTCTTCTGCCTCAGCCCCCCGAAGTAGCTGGGACTATAGGCACGCGCCTCCCCACCCGGCTAATTTTTGCATTTTTAGTAGAGACAGGATTTCGCTATATTGGCCAGGATGATCTGAGCTTCTGACCTCGTGATCCACCGGTATCCCCCTTTTAAAGTGCTGGGATTACAGGCGTGAACCACCGCACCCGCCCGGAATTACAGCTTGAGGTGAGATTAGGGTGGAGCCACAGAGCCAAACCGTATCACTGCAAAGGATCCGCAGCGAAGAAGGTCATAACATTCGAAATTTTAAAATAATTGTCATTATATTTTTTCAATTTATGAATTACTATATTATGTATCTTTTTTTTTTTGGAAACGGAGTTTCGCTCTTGTTACCCAGGCTGGAGTGCAATGGCGCTAACTCAGCTCACCGCAACCTCCGCTTCCTGGGTTCAGGCAATTCTCTTGCCTCAGCCTCCTGAGTAGCTGGGATTACAGGCACGCGCCACCATGCCCAGCTAATTTTTTGTATTTTTAGTAGAGACGGGGTTTCACCATGTGACCAGGATGGTCTCGATCTCTTGACCTCGTGATCCGCCCGCCTCGGCCTCCCAAAGTGCTGGGATTACAGGCGTGAGCCACCGCGCCCGGCTATTATGTATCATTTATAAATGCACAGGACGGTACACAAGGTTAAATGCAAATATCCTCTGGCTTTGGCCCGGCTCAGATCAGGGAAGAGGCCCTCTGACTGTAAAGGCTGCAGCTAGGCTGTTATTTTTGCTCCATTCAGCCGGGTCTCTGATCAAATTTTCCGTCCTTCAGGGCGTGAAGGGTGGGTCCTGAAACTTTATCCAATCAGGAGCATTGGATTAGAAACTAATCAGGTGTGCAGCAGGATAAAACAGGACGCTTCCCTAATGTTGCGGGTCCTTTGTGTTGCTCCGTATCCAGAGTTGCAGTTCTTCTCTTCACTGCTCTGCATCCTCTGCTCCTAGAGGCCAAGCCTCTGTGGCCGTGTGTCCTGCAGGTATTCGCAGATTTATGGCTAAAAGACCGGGACCCCCTGGAAGCCCAGAAATGGTGAGTGCTGGGTCTGTCATTGTGAGAGAGGGGTGGGGGCTGGTGGGAACGGGCTGAAAGTGGCTGTAGCTGGACCCAGACTTCCTCTCAGCTCCGAAGTCTGAGGACCCAAACCCTCCTTGGCCCAGCTTGGCTCTTAGCCCCCTGAGCCGTAAGACGGTGCCTGGGCCAGCAGCTGGGACCCTGGGAGTTCTGTCTTTTTCCTCTGCAGCGGCTTTGCCCTGGACTGGCCCTCTCTGGGCAGCTCTGCACTCCCAGTGCCTCATCTCACCCAGATTGTGCAGGGATGGGAAAGTCATCAAGGGGAATCCTGACTCAGAATGCAGGACTCATGAGTGGAAAACGCTGGGGTCTCTAGTTCCTCACTTTTCCTTTTAGAAGTGTCTGGGAGTTACTGTGGAAATATTAGAAAATTAGATAAAAGTGTGATTCAAGAATCATGGCGCGCCCGGCTACGGTTTGTGGCTTGTGGTCCATAGGAGGGACTTGAAAGTCTGTTATAAATTGCATGATGAAGCAGACCCAATTCAATAATCGGTTTGGTACGGTTATGTAGTTTCCTTATTTGTAAGATTTAGGTGAAAATTTCTTGGTTATGTCATCAGATTAATTGGCACTTTGTGGTTGACTAGGATTGATTTATTTCTTCCACATACATAGTAATTCACAAAAAAAATGTTTGTTTGTTTGTTTGTTTTTGTTTTTTTGAGAGGGAATCTCTGTTGCCCAGGCTGGAGTGGAGTGGCACGATCTCGGTTCACTGCAACCTCTGCCTCCCAGGTTTAAGTGATTCTCCCGCCTCAGACTCTGGAGTAGCTGGGATTACAGGCACCTGCCCCCATTGCCTGGATAATTTTGTATTTTAGTAGAGACAGGGTTTTGCCATGTTGGCCAGACTGGTCTGGAACTGCTGACTTCATGTGATCCACCTGCCTCAGCCTTCCAAACTGCTGGGATTACAGGCGTGAGCCACCGCTCCTGGCCCCGTTATCTTGATTTCTGAATTTTATACTTAACTACATGAAATAGGACTGGGCACCTTCTAGAAGTTTGTTCGTATTACTAATTATTTACTGAATATCCTGTGATGGAAATAAGTAAATGTATTTGTAAGTAAATGATACAGTGAAAATATCTTTTCAAGGTGACAAACCCAGGGAGTGGCAGTGCTGATTGGAACACAGATATGTCTGACTCATGTGTCAAGTCAAGCCATCCAATCACTTGAGAGAGATTCTAACATGCATCCTGCTCACTGAAATGCTCAATGACAACCATTCTAGGAGACACTGCACTGCACCTTAGTGAGTTCCCCAGGTGGAAATAAGTAAATTGTATATTCTCTGAAAGAGATACTTTTGCTTTCTCTCATTGCTGTTTCTCATAAAATGTAAGCACCTTAAATTTTTTTCCCCTTGTATAAACACTGCATTTCAGTAATTCTTCTGGATTTCTCTAACACTTACTTTCAAAACCTAAGTGACCATCTCTGACTTGGAAATTAAAGCCTGAGCCCTGTGACTCCAAGCTAAGGACAATATGGAGCCTGCAAAGGGAGGTTGTTGAAGGCCTTGTCAGTTCTTTCTAGGGAGCCTCCCTTGCAAATGTCCCAACCTGCTCACCCCAGCCCTGGACGAATTCTTTATACAGAGAAAGCAACAGAGCCCAGGAAAGCTGGGGACCCACAGGCAGATGCAGTTAGCGTTAGAATGGGTGGGAAATTTTGAGAGGGAGTCTCTGGATGGGAATTGGGAGGATCTTACTGAAGATAAAGGCGTTGCTGTTTCGGAGCAGTTTCTAGACTTTGTAAAATAAAGTCAGGTTTAGGTAAGAAGTTCTAAATCCCAACAACAGAAAAAAGTACCAAGTATAAGATTTTTAAGGACATCAACATTTAGGCAGACCAGGACTTTCTTTCATAGAGAATAGCAAACAAGCTTAGAAAGAAGGTGGAATGAGAATGGCATGATAGAAGGAAGGGGGCAAAATTAGACTCTAGATCAGAGACTGTCTTACCCTGAAGCCAGCAGGTTCTTAAGGAGAGACAGAAAATGGGCTTGTATGTTGACTCAGACTGAGGGTAGCTCAAAGATCAGGAGCCCTGGGAGAAGAGAAAAATTTAAGCAAAGTTGATTAAGAAGTATTTTGTTTTGACCACTGAAGAAAAGTATTTAGCCGATTCATTTATAAAAAAGAGGTGGACATTTGCAGTCTGTGTCTGGCTATGTGATAAGTAAGGAAACGCAATACCATCTAAGTCATCGTGGGAAGAGTGTTTCTTTCTATTAAGCTGATGCTGATGACCGCAAAGGACATATATATATATATATATATATATTTTGAGACAGAGTCTTGCTCTGTTGCCCAGGCTTGAATTCAGTGGCACAATCTTGGCTCACTTCAGCCTCCACCTCCTGAGTTCAAGCAATTCTCCTGCCTCAGCCTCACAAATTGCTGGGATTATGAGTGCCCACCACTGCACATGACTAATTTTTTGTAGTTTTAGTAGAGATGGGATTTCACCATGGTGGCCAGTTTACAACTCCTGACCTCAGGTAATCCACTTGCCTCAGGCTCCCAAAGTGCTGGGATTGCAGGCATGAGCCACTGCATCTGTCCAGAGAATTTTATTAATCACAGCTATTTATCAGGACTATCTATATGCCCCATCTTTCCCAATCTTTTTTTTTTTTTTTGTCATATAAATTTTTTCTTTTCCTTTTGACTGTTTCCGAGTTGCACGTTTTATAGTAAACTGGTTAACATAATTGCAGGATTTTGCTTAATTCTGCAGTATCTCGACAAATTATTGAATTTGAGAGAGATTATGGGAGTCCCCAATTTACAGATAGTAGCTCAGAAGCATAGATGGGTCCCTGGGATTTGTGACATGTGTGTACAATAAGGGCTGTATGGTGAGACTGAGCTCTGAATTATGGTTTGTGCTGATTCTGGGTGGTGTCAGAACAAAGATGTCAGACAAGAAGTTGGTGTTAAAAACTTGCTTGGTGCCAGCCTGGCCAACATGTGAAATGCTGTCTCCACTAAAAATACAAAAATTAGCTGAGTGTGGTGACAGGTGCCTGTAATCTCAGCTACTCAGAAGGCTGAGGCAGGAGAATCACTTGAACCCGGCAGGTGGAGGTTGCAGTGAGCTGAGATAGAGAGCACCGGTGCAGTCCAGCTTGGGTGATAGAGCGAGACTCTGTCTCAAAAGAAAAAAAGAGAAAAAGAAACAAGAAAAATAAGTGCTTGGTGTTTAGTGAACTCCGCAGATTTGGTGTCAGAAAAAAGATGTTACAGAGCCTGCCCTGGAGGGGCCTCCGGGTGTCTGGTAAGGGGAGGCTCGGTTCTCCTGCACACAGACTGTCACACTGCACATTGTCCTGTGGCTCTAGGTCTCCTCTCAGGGTGGAAGGCACTAAAAACTTAAGGAAAGGAATTGTGATAACAGACCTCCTTCTTTCACAGCTGCCACCACATGATTCTCGTGCATTCGCAAACATACCCACTAGACATTGATGTGTCCACACCCCTCCCAGGACTAGCACCACCCTCAAGAATTCCACCACGCACCTTTGCTTTTAGTGTTTCTTGCCAAAATCCCGTCAAAGTGCCTGCAGGTTTCCTGGCACATCCCCAACTCCAGACACTGAATCTCCAGTAGCAACCTGTTTCCTCCACCAGTGTAGGGTTCTGTACCACCTGCTCATAGTCCAATGTGCCAGCATGGACGCAGGAGTAAATCAGAGTATAGCCCCACAGGGACCACTATCTGCAGCACAAACCAGTCCTACCACTCGCTTACCTTGAACTCTTTCCTGGAGTCTTGTTCTGTCCCCCAGGCTGGAGTGCAGTGGCACGATCTGGCTCACTGCAACCTCTGCCTTCCAGGTTCAAGTGATTCTCCTGCCTCAGCCTCCCAAATAGCTGGGATTAGAGGTGTGTGCCACCATGCCTGGCCAATTTTTGTATTTTTAGTAGAGACGGGGTTTCACCATGTTGGCCAGACTGGTTTCCAACTCCTGTCCTCAAGTGATCTGCCCATCTTGGCCTCCCAAGTGCTGGGATTACAGGTGTAAGCCACTGTGCTCAGTTGAATTTTGTTTCTTTGACCTTTTATGTCCAGGAATACAGGTGATTTGTATCATATCATGACGTTTTTGTGTACAGATTACTTTATCACTCAGGTACTGAGCATTGTACCCACAGATTTCTTTTTCTGATTTTCTTCATCCTCCAACTCTCCACCCGGAACTGGGTCTCAGTGTCTGTTGTTCTCCTATTGGTGTCCACATTTTCTCATTATTTTGCTCCCACTTAGAAGTGACAACACATAGTATTTAATTTTCTGTTCCTGCACTAGTTTTCTAAAAATAACAGTCTCCAGCTCCACTCACGTTGCTGCAAAGGACGTGATGTTATTCTTTCTTGTAGCTACGTCATATTTCATGGTGTATACATACCACATTTTCTTTATCTAGTCTACCATTGAAGACATACGGGTTTGTTTATTTGTTTTTTTACTATTAGAATAGTGCTGTAAAACATATGCGTGCCTGTGTCTTTATGGTAGAATAATTTACATTCATTGGGTATATTCCCAATTATTGGATTGCTGGGTCAAATGGTAATTCTGTTTTCAGGTTTTTGAGAAGTTGCCAAACTGCTTTTCTCAATGGTCGAGCAAATTGACACACTCACCAGCAGCGTATAAGCATTCCTTTTCTCTACCACTTCACAAGTAGCTGGGTTTTTTGGTTTTTTTTAACTTTTTAGTCTCATTGTGTTTATTTGAATTATTTCTTTTTTATTCATTAGTCTAGTGTTTTATCTATCTTATTATTTTTTCATAGAATCAACTTCTGGTTTTGTTGAGCTTTTTTTTTGTTTTGCTTTTTTAGATGGAGTTTTGCTCTGTTGCCCAGGCTGGAGTACAGTGGCATGATCTCGGCCCACTGCATTCCAGTCTTAAGTGATTCTCCTGCCTCAGCCTCCTGAGTTGGGATTACAGGTGCCTGCAACCACACCTGGCTAAATTTTGTATTTTTAGTAGAGATGGGGTTTCAACATGTTGGCAAGGCTGGTCTTAAACTCCGGACCTCATGATCCACCTGCCTCGGCCTCCCAAAGTGCTGGGATTACAGACATGAGCCACTGTGCCTGGCCTGTTGAACATTTTATAGTTATTTATGTCTCAGCCTAGTTCTTTTCAGCTCTGATTTTGGTTATTTCTTGTATTTTGCTAACTTTGCAGTTTTAATGGTAACATTAAATTCTAAATGAATATCTTTCTAACTTTTTGATGTGGATGTTTAGTGTTATACATTTCGTTGTTAACACTGCCTAGCTGTGACCCAGAGATTCTGGTATTTTTTTTTTTTTGAGACGGAGTTTCGCTCTTGTTACCCAGGCTGGAGTGCAATGGTGCGATCTCGGCTCACCGCAACCTCCGCCTCCTGGGTTCAGGCAATTCTCCTGCCTCAGCCTCCTGAGTAGCTGGGATTACAGGAACGTGCCACCATGCCCAGCTAATTTTTTGTATTTTTAGTGGAGACGGGGTTTTACCATGTTGACCAGGATGATCCCGATCTCTTGACCTTGTGTTTCACCCTCCCCGGCCTCCCAAAGTGCTGGGATTACAGGCGTGAGCCACCGTGCCTGGCCTATTCTATATATTTTCTTTTTAAATTTAATGATAGAGATTAAAAAACAAAAAATAAATAAAATTAATGATAGACATAAGAAGAATGAATTGAAAACGCTGTGCTCTCAATCTAAATGCTAAAAATAATTTGACACTTCCTATCAATTCCCAGGGTGCTATGAAAATTAAATCACATATGTGTTATTTTCAGCACATTGTTCTGTGACTGTGATAGGATCTGCTTAACACACTTTATTAGTACATGTGTACATGTTTCCCAAGTGCAGACTTACTCAGACATTGCTGCCTTCTGTTGTCTCTGTAAACTTTAAAAATCCAACAAAAAATATAGTATTTCAGGATGGAGATTGGTTGTCTTTATTTGTACCAGAAGTATTTGTATTGTGACAATTGTGGTGGGTGTAAGGGACTCTTTTTTATTTTTTTTGAGAAGGAGTCTCCCTGTGTCGCCCAGGCTGGAGTGCTGTGGCACCATCTCGACACACTTCAGGCTCTGCCAAATGGGTTCAAGCAATTCTCCTACCTCAACAGCCTCACGAGTTGCTGGGGTAACAGGCGTGTGCCACCATACCCAGCTAATCTTTGTATTTTAATAGAGATGGGGTTTTACGATGTTGACTGGGCTGGTCTTGAACTCCTTGAGCTCCTCAGGAGTTCCAAGACCAGCCCAATCCACCTACCTCAGCCTCCCAAAGTGCTAGGATTACAGGTGTGAGTCACCGTGCCCAGCCAGGGACTCTTTGCTGTGCCTGCTTTCTCTAGCTAATGCTAATACTGTGTCTGGGAAAGCGCAGTCGGTATTTACAGGGGACTTGTTGAAAAAGCCCATTCCTAGACCTTTTAGGATCCTGCAGAATTATATTGCATAAAGCAGGGCCAATATTACCAAATGATTTATAAACTTGAGGGGTTCAAGATACATTCAGGAGAGTTTACTTCAACCTTTGATGCAAAGGTAGGCTGCATTGCCTGCCCTATTTCAGTTTGGTAGGAAATAGGTCAGTGCAGTTTATGCTCCCATTACTACAGAAAAATTGCTGGTGTCTGATAGGAGAGGGCAGGGAAAAATAAACAAGAGTTCAAGACAAGCCTGGCCAACATGGAGAAACGCCATCTGTACTAAAAATACAAAAATTAACTAGGCATGGTGGCTGAGGCCTGTAGTCCAAGCTACTACTGAGGAGGGCGAGGCAGGATAATTGCTTGAACCTGGGAGATGGAGGTTGCAGTGAGCCAAGATCATGCCACTGCACTCCAGCCTGGGCAACAGAATGAGACCCAATCTCAAAAACCAAAATAGACATATCCATGTTGATGCACTCAATTTTATAATTTATCATCCAAAATAGTATCATATCTACAGTGGTACTGTGGATCTTATGCTATCCTCTTTTCTCAGAGTTAGAGAATATTTATGTGTTAAAAATAATTTTAGTCACTCTTATAATTCAGAACTTCTTTTTACTGTTTTTTAACTTTGAGTCAAATAAAAATCTTTGCCTACGGCCATGTGGTAAGTATTTGTGTGTTCATGAGTGGTTTTTTTTTTTTTTTTTTTTTTTTTTCAGGGACTGTTGACATTCAGAGATGTAGCCGTAGAATTCTCTTTGGAGGAGTGGCAATGCCTGAATCATGCTCAGCAGAATCTATATAGAGATGTGATGTTCGAGAACTACAGAAACCTGGTCACCCTGGGTGAGGATAACTTCGATACACAGTTCCTAATATACCCTGAAAATTATTTTTCTCTCTTTTCTAAGATGTTTTGGTAACTTCTGCTTTGCACAGATGAATTTTAGATGTCTGATTTTAAGAAAATCTTGGGGATTCATTCGTGTAAAACAAATTCTTCAAGATGTTTTATCTTGATTTGAACTTTTCCCTTCCCTGAGCTTATGTATCTTTTGTTCTAAGTTAGTTGCAATTCCAAAAATGTCTCGTGGCATAAAATATCATTGTCCACACCTTAGAATTCAATTGCCACCATCAGTTTTTTATTTAAGTACTGAGTAGTGAAATTAAAGACCTACAAATTTAAAATATTTTCTAAATATTTAGAAAGTTCTATTATGAATCAATATTAATTTTCTAGAATTTTCTATCATATCCTCTTTACTAAGCATAATACCAGGTTGGTTATTAAAGAATTTACTAAGATTTATGTTACTTTTTTTCCTTAATAAAACAGGTATTGCTGTCTCTAAACCAGAATTGATCACCTGTCTGGAGGGAAACAAAGAGTCCTGGAATATAAAGAGAAATGAGATGGTAGCCAAACACCCAGGTAGGTGAGAGTAAAAGAAGCAAGATGACACAAATGAGAGGTGCAAAAGTCATGGAGGAAGCCGGTCCTTAAAATGTGGGGAGTTGTGCTTCAATGGAAAGAGTTTCTGAGAAGCCTGAGTAATTTTTTTCCTTTGCTCTCCCATAGGGACACCTTCTGCCCCATGCTTTTAAATTCTCTAAGGATTCTACTTTGGCTTCAGTAATCTTCCTTCAAGTTCCCAGTGTGAGCCAAAGTTTTCTTTATGGCTTATAAGGGAATGCACAAACTGCTTTGCCATTGCTTCTGGGGACACACAAATATCTGCATATTTTTGAGAAACTCTATGTTAAACCATTTTTAAAATTCTTTTTTTGTATCGTGTAAAATGTGTGAGAATAGTAGTTTTTGTTTCATTGGTGGTGATCCATTTTTCTGCATATGCCATTCTATTTCTATTATTATAGCCTTGAAATATAGTTTAAAGTTATTTACAAAATTTTTTTATTTTTAAATTTTTATCTAGGTATTTATATATTTATTTAAAGACTGTGTCATGAGACTTGCTGTGGGGGGCTAGGCAAACAGGTACCTCTTTCATATTCATTTTACTGCGTTGCATACTTTAGGTATAGATTGGAATTGCTGTAGTATATGATAATTTCATTTTAAATTATTTGAAAACATGATATTTCTTATGATGGCTGTACTTTTTTTCTCATCAACAACTTACATGAGTTTCAGTTTCTTTACATCATCAATATAGTGTTTTTTAAAAAATTTATAGTGTCCATTCTAATCTATGTAAGGTAATTTTGTTTTATATTGTGATTTTGTTTTTTATTTTCCTAAAATTATTAATTTTGTGCAACCTTTCAAATGGTTCTTCCCATTTGTATATGTTTTTTATTAAAACTTAGTTTAATCACTTGGTCCCTTTCTTTCTTTCTTTCTTTTTCTGTCTTTCTTTCTTTCTTTCTTCTTTCTTTCTTTCTTTCTTTTTTTGTTTGGTAGAATATCTCTCTTCTTGCCCATGCTGGAGTGCAATGATGCAATCTTGGCTCATGGCAAACTCTGCCTTCTGGATTCAAAAAATTCTCCTGCCTCAGTCTCATGAGTAGCTGGGATTACAGGGATGTGCAACCACACCCAGCTAATTTTGTATTTTTAGTAGAGATGGGGTTTTGCCATGTTGGTCAGGGTGATCTGAAACTCCTGACTTGAGGTGATCTGCCCACCTTTACTTCCCAAACTTCTGGGATTAAGGTGTGAGCCACCACTCCTGGTTCATTTGTCCATTTCTAAATCAACTAATTCAATTTAATGTTACAAGAGTATATTTTAAACTGGTTAAAAAAAATGACTTCAGTTGCATAGAAAAATTTGTCATTATATTTCAATTTATTTGTTTAGCTTCTTAATTTTTTTACATTTTTTTCTTTTTTTTTAATCACCTCCACAATTTGTTTATTTTTATTGGTCCAAGCCTTTTCTTGATATTCTTATCTTCTGATTTTATTTAGATGTCTTTTTTTTATTTTTCTGATTGAGCATAATATGGATTATCTGATAATTTGAAAGTTAACATATACAACTTTATTTTTATTGTTGCTTTTTCAAAATGTTTGATCTTTTTGATTGGACCATGTTGCCCTAATACTTTATATACGTTGCAGTCTTTGGTTGAGAGTTAGAAATTAGCAGAAAACTACATTTCACGATCTTTATGCTGCAGCTCTTTCTTTCCTGGCATAGTTTGAAACCAATTATCTTGGCTAGAGATTCTGGGAGTCTTTCAAACATGTTCTCAGGATGTGTCTTGTGTGCAACTTTGTATTTCTTTTTCAGTTAAAAGACCTCTCCCTGTTTCTTCTTACCAGTCAGTAACTACTTTCCACACCTGTTTTCCGTCCCTGGTACGGGTGACCTCCTGCTGTTGTAACATTCACTTTTGATCTCAGAAAACTTAAAGCTGTCATTTCGAAGTATACCATCATTGTCTTCAGCAACTTCTGTCATGAAAGACAGAAGGCCCCCATCAGCCAAAAGTAAAGATATAGGTGCCAGTATATTTCTCGTCTTTTGCAATATAAGCCAGAAGTTGACAGTTTACTCCAAAGACACCATGTTCTTCTATGGGGGATGAGGAAGGGCTGTGTTAGGTAAATAGTAGACTTTTCTTTCTATATAGTTTTTGGCATTGTGCTCACCTGGCTTACTTTATTTATAAATTTCTAACAAAGATATTTTGATCACTGTTTTTGTTACATTTATACACGTATGAAGAAATTATGGCCTGTGGTAGTTTGATATGCCATTTTGCTAATGTACTTTGTATGATTTTATATATTTGATCTGTAACGTATATTTAACTAAGTCTAGTAAGTGGAGTAACTTGCAATTTTTATTTCTTTCAGTTACATATTCTTATCTTACCCAAGACCTTCAGCCAGAGAAGGGCATAAAAGATTCACTTCAAAAAGTAATAATACCAATAAGACATGGAAAAAGTAATACCAAGAAGATATGTGGACATGAGAATTTACAATTTAAAAAATGCTGTGAAAGTGTGGGTGAGTGCGAGGTGCACAAAGGAGGTTATAATGAAGTTAACCAATGTTTGTCAACTACCCAAAACAAAATATTTCAGACTTATAAATGTGTCAAAGTCTTTGGTAAACTTTCAAATTCCAACAGACATAAGACAGGACATACTGGAAAGAAACATTTCCAATGTAAAAAGTATGGCAAATCATTTTGCATGCTTTCACACCTCAGTCAACTTCAGATAATTCATAGTAGTGAAAATGCCTACAAATGTGAAGAATGTGGCAGATCCTTTAACTGCTCCTCAACGCTTACTAAACATAAAAGAATTCATACTGGAGAGAAACCCTACAGATGTGAGGAATGTGGCAAAGCTTTTAGCTGGTCCTCAACCCTTACTAAACATAGGAGAATTCATACTGGAGAGAAACCCTACGGATGTGAAGAATGTGGCAAAGCCTTTAGCCGCTCCTCAACCCTTGCCAACCACAAGAGAATTCACACTGGAGAGAGACCCTACAAATGTGAAGAATGTGGCAAAGCCTTTAGCTTATCCTCAACCCTCACTTACCACAAAAGAATTCATACTGGAGAGAAACCCTACACATGTGAAGAATGTGGCAAAGCCTTTAACTCCTCCTCAACCCTTAAGAAACATAAGAGAATTCATACTGGAGAGAAACCGTACAAATGTAAAGAATGTGGAAAAGCCTTTACCTTCTCCTCAACTCTCGATACTCATAAGAGGATTCATACTGAAGAGAAACCCTACAAATGTGAAGAATGTGGCAAAGCTTTTAAGTGGTCCTCAGGTCTTGCTAATCACAAGAAAATTCATACTGGAGAGAAACCCTACAAATATGAATAATGTGGCAAAGTCCAGCTCTCAGGCCTTATAATACGTAATATAATTTATACTGGAAAAAATCACTGCAAGTGTGGAGAATGTGGGCAAGCCTTTAACCAGCTCCAAACCTTTATTGTACACAAGATAATTCAGATTGGACAAAAATCATATACATATAAAAAAAGTAACACAGCCTTTAAAACCAGCCCTCAAACCTTAATGAATCTAAGAAATTTATGTTAAAAAAATTTTATTTTGAGATGGAGTCTTTGTCACCCAGGCTGGAGTGCATTGGCACAATCTCAGCTCACTGCAACTTCCGTCTCCCGGGTTAAAGCGATGCTCCTGCCTCAGCCTCCTGAGTAGATGGGATTACAGGTGTGTACCACCATACTGGCTGACTTTTGTATTTTTAATAGAAAACCCCATCTTTACTAAAAATACAAAAATTATTTTTTAAAATGTGGCAAAGCCTTTAACTGGTTCTCCGTCCTTATTAATTAAAAAATGGTATACTGGAGAGAAACTCTACATACATAAAAAATGTGACAGAGCATTTAACCACACCTCAAACTTTTCTAAAAGAGAAATCAAACAGAGAAACTCTGGAAATGTGTTAAATGTGTCAAGGCCTTTATGGTTGTCACACATTATGGTAGGTAAGATAATTCATACTGAAGAATACTCGTAAAAATATGGAGAATATTGCAAAACTTTTAACAAATTCTCACACCTTATTGCACAGGAAAGCATTTATACTAGATTAAAACTGTACAAATACAAAGAATGTGAAAGCCATTAATATATGCTCACATCTTACTCAATATCAGAAAGTTTGTACTTAATGAAAGCACTCTAGGCCAGGCATGGTGGCTCACATGTATAATCCCAACGCTTTGAGAGGCCAAGGCAGGTGAATCCTGAGGTCAGGAGTAGAAGACCAGTGTGGTCAACAAGGTAAAACACCATCTCTACTAAAAATACAAAAATTAGTTGGGCGTGGTGGTGTGCACCTGTAATTCCAGTTGCTGGGGAGGCTGAGACAGGAGAATTGCTTGAATCTGGCAGGCAGAGGTTGCCGTGAGCCAAGATTGAGCCAATACACTGCAGCCTGGGTGACAGAGCAAGACTCCATCTCAGGGGAAAAAAAGCATTAGAAATATGACTATAAAAAGACCTTTCAGAATATGTAGGCCTTTAAAGACTATTTACTCTGAAGACAAGCATCACAAACATAAAGAGGATTGTAGTACCTTTATTTGTATTACAGATTTTATTGTATATGTTTTATATTAAAGGGAAACCCTGAAGCAGATGCCCAAACTTTGTTGAGAATTTATATTTGAGAGAAAGCCTAAAATTCTAATGAATGTGAAAAACATTTGTTTACAAACTACAGTTTAGAAAATACCCATTTATACTAATTTCTGCAGATGCAGTAAATGGGAAAAATATATTTATTCAAAAATTGTCTATATATACATTTGAGGATTTCAGAGTAGAAAGAAGGAAGGCACTGCAGTCAGTGTCAGACATTACTCTAAATCAGAGTGCTGAGTATCAAAAAATCCAAAGCTAACACTATATACATTTTAAAGAAGCAGATTTTTTTTAGAGATTTATAATTACATTCAAGGTATGCTTCTTTTTATGTAAGAAAATTATATATTTTCTAAAAAGCAAATAATGTAACTCAATCTCAAGTATCTTCATGTTGATTCTTCTCATCGTTTATATAAAAGTATTTACTTTTTGCTTCAGAGATATTAGAGGTTGTTTTTTATTAGGTGTCCATTCTTCATGAGCTTTTCTGTGGAAGACTAAGGACATTAAGTTGTAAGTTGCATAATAAAAACCTAAATGGAGAGGCTCTTTGTGGTTGACTTGTAACACTGTGTTAGTGATGTATAAGGCAGGTGTTCTGTAGAATCCTGAGTAATATTTTGAATTCTAGTGAAAGGAAAACCTTTGACTGTTAGTAGTAAATTATTTTATCAATTGTACCTGTATTATAAACTATCCAGTCTGTAAAGAAAAATTTTAAAATAAATAAATAAATAAATATTGTCCCTGTATGTAATAAAATGCAATAAATTTAATTTTTTTCAAGATCATGTGTGAACTCAATTTTTCATTAAACAAAGTTGTTTTGATGTGTTGAAACTATTGTGTTTTGAATGACGTATTAATTTACCATGAACTTTAATGTGTCGCTTCTTACTTGAGGTTCTAAGGAAGAGATGGTAATGACATGCTATTTGTTAATGTAGGACAGTGACATCTCTAGTAAGGTCTTCTTTGCCAGTGTTTTGTTTGTTTTGTTTTTTGTTTGTTTGTTTTGAGACAGAGTTTTGCTCTGTCACCCAGGCTGGAGTGTAGTGCCACGGTCTCGGCTCACTACAACCTCCACCTCCTGGGTCCAAGTGCTTCTCCTGCCTCAGCCTCCTAAGTATGTGGGATTAGAGGCACCTGCCACCACACCTGGCTAATTTTTGTATTTTTAGTAGAAACAGGGTTTCACCATGTTGTCCAGGCGGGTCTTGAACTCCTGACATCAGGTGATCCACCCACCTCAGAGTTCTAAAGTGCTGGGATTACAGGCATGAGCCACCAGGCCTGGCCTGCCAGTGTTTTTAAATTGCAAACAAGTTGAAGAATTTTGTTCTCATAAGTCAAATTTATATTATTTTTCACCTTAATTTTTTTTTAATTTTTGTGGGTAGATAGTGTGCGTACACACTTATGGCATTGATGCGATATTTTAACGGGCATACAATATTTAATTATTACAGCTGAGTAAATGAGGTATTTATCACCTTGAGCATGTGTTTGTTTTTTATATCACAATCCCATTATACAATTTTAGTTATTTCAATATGTGCAATTGAATTATTAACTACCAGGTCATTTTTAGAGTCATAAAATTACATGGGAATAATTAATATCCATACATTTCTGAGTGTTGATGAAATATTCTAAAAAGTTTCTTGTATACATTTTTTGTACGTGTGGCCTCTGCTGGCAAATTAAAACAGACTTTTAGTTTTGGTTTACATAGAGTTACATATGCAAATCTATTACTCTAAAGATATACACGCTGGGCACAGTGGCTCATGCCTGTACTCTCAGCACTTTGGGAGGTAAAGGTGGGTGGATCATTTGAGGTCTGAAGTTCAAAACCAACCTGGCCAACATGGTGAGTCCCCATCTCTACTAAAAATCCAAAAAAAATTAAAAATCTTGGTGTGGTGGTGCGTACCTGCCTTTCCCAAGGCAGGAGAATCCTTTGAACCTGGGAGGCGGAGGTTGCAGTGAGCCGAAATGGCACCATTGCTCTCCAGCCTGGGTGACAGAGTGAGACACTGCCTCAAAAAATATATATATATAACTTAGGTGTAAGAAAGTCATGTAACAAGTGACGGTGTTTGTGTGTGAGTTTGCATGCATTTTCAGAAGAAAAGAACAATATGTGAAATGAAAAAGACCATTTTCATACGGTGGATAATTAGAAACCTGTAAACCTCCGAGATTCTGAAAAAAATTCTGAGTAAATTAAACCTCGTTTCTGTATAAATTACTCATTCTCTGGTAGTATCTTTATTGTAGTGTGAAGACAGATTAATATAGAAAATCAATACTGGGAGTTTGGGGCACTGCTATAAAGATTGTTGAAAATGTGGAAAAGACTTTGGAGTTGGGTAATAAGCAGACCTTGAAACAATTTAAAGCACTCAGATGTGGGAACGTTTGGAACGTTCTTGACACTTGTCGAATGCTTTGGACCAAATGCTAATAGTGGTATGGATGATAAAGTCCAGGTTGAGGTGGTCTCAGATGGAGATGAGAAACTTATGTTTAAAATGGAAGCAGAATATAAAAGTTTGCAAAACTTGCAGCCTGATCATGACGTAGAAAATAAAAACCCAATTTTTGGAAAGAAATTCAAGCCACTGCAAAATTTGCAGAAATAAATAGGAGTTGAATGTTAATAGCCAAGACAATGGGGAAAATGTCTTCACATCATGTCAAAGATCCGAGGCAGGTCCTTCCATCACAGGCCAGGAGCCTTAGGAGGAAACAATGGTTTCACAGTTGAGGCCCAGGGCCCCCCTGTTCTATGAAGCCTTGGGACTTGGTGCCCTGCATCCTAGCTACTCCAGATCCAGCTGTGGCTAAAAGGGGCCAAGGTACAGCTTGGGTTATTTCTTCAGAAAGTGCAATCCTCAAGCGTTGGTGGCTTCTGTGTGTTGACTAGGGCAATGCGGAAGAGAAATGGGGGTTGGAGCCCTCATGCAGAGTCCCCACTGAAGCTGCTTACTGGAGTTGTGAGAAGGCCACTATACTCCAGACCCCAGAAAGACAAATCCACCATGAGCTTGCACTGTGCACCTGGAAAAGCCACAGGCACTCAATTCCAGTCCGTAAAGGCGCTGCCCAAGGCCATGAGGGCCCCTCTTGCATCAGTGTGCCCTGGTTGTGAGACATGGAGTCAAATGAGATTGTCTCAGAGCTTTAAGATTTAATGATTGCCCCATTGCATGGAGCCTGTAGCTCCTTGGTTTGGGCCAATTTCTCTTATTTGAAATTGGAGAATTTAATGCCTGTACCCCCATTGTCTCTTCGAAGTAACTAACTTGCTTTTACTCTACACGCTTATAGGTAGCAGGGAATTGCTTTGTCTCAGATGAGACTTTGGACTTAGACTTTTGGATTAATGCTAAAATAAACTAAGACTTTGGGAAAGCATGTTTGGTTTTGAAATATAAAAAGGACAAGAGATTTGGAAGGGGCCAGGGGCAGAATGATACCCATGATGGTTGCATGACAGTGAGTTGTCATGAGATCGGATGGTTTTGTAAGTGGTAATTCTTTCTGCTCTCCAACTCTCCTGCCACCTAGTGAAGAAGATAACCTGCTTTTCCTTCACCATCTGCCGTTATTGTAAGGTTCTTGAGGCCTCCCCAGCTATGTGGAACTGTGAGTCAATTAAACTTCCTTTTATCATAAAGTATTCAGTCTTGGGTAGTATCTTTGTAGTGGTGTAGTAAGAGACTAGTGCACAAATATAAGATGGGGCTATCTGTATACTAGATACTTCATAATCATCCATAATTATTATTGCTTGAGTTTCTTTGTAACTCTCAGTCACAGGTAGAAAATATTCATGGTGAAAAAATAATACTGACTCAGCATGTGCAGAGGACATCTACTCCTTGGCTGCAAAATGGCCTCTCTGAATTTAAATAAAAGTTCTGCTTTTTAAATTTTCTCATTATCTTTTGTTTTGTGTCTTTTTATGTTTATCCCAATGATGTATCCATCACAGCCCTCCCCACTTTTTCTATGTTATGACTACAGTTTTCTCACTGTTCTCTCTGTGCCATGTCATTTCATACAGCACTCTGTAGGTTCTGATGAGAAGGTTGGAATGTTTTAATATGGTGAAAAACTGTGTTAAACGTGGGAGTGTGAGCTATGTACAGCTTCTCAATGTAACGTCCAGATCGGTTCACTGAGCTCAGAGGCACACACTGTCCACAGGTGAGAAGATGAAATCAGATAGTACTGTGTGTCTTTGTAATAAAATTTTTAATTAGATTGTAAGACAAAGGATAGCATATACAAAATTAGTTAGAAAGCATATCTTAGAAATTAGATTTATAGGAGAGTTAATATTAAGGGATAATTATTAAATGTAATTTTAATGATATATTTATAGCACGACTCATGTTTTCATGCAGAATCTTGTATTTTTGAGGATGAGTGTTAAATGTTGCAAATAAAATGAGCTCTGTGGATTTAAAACTTATGGTAATATTTCTTTTTCATATTAATGTTACAATATTGAGGGATTTTTCTATTATTTTATGTTTTTTTTTAGTGGGTGAGATTCACAGTCTATAATTTTTACAATTAGTCACAGATGTAGCCAACATTTTGGTCATTTTCTCTGGGAAAATTTTGGAGATTATGGCAGCTTTTGGATTAAAACATTTACTCAGTTATTTTTCATGCAAAGATGTTTATTATGTTCACAGAGTTACCAATCATGTGACAGGTAGCAACACCTGATTTTTAGTGTCTTCCATTACTTGCCATCAGCAGTAGAAACTAAAGGTCCCCAAGTTGAAAGTAAAAGCCCTATTATTTTGCTTTTCTCTTGATAACCTGTCTTTTGTTTTAGGGTTTTCTGTCAAGACGCTTATGGTAAGGAGAAAGGGGATCTCCCCCACACCAGCTCCCAATTAAAATCCTGAACACCAAGTTCGAGTGAGCTTCCCTGCTTCTGTATGACATGAACACAAATCTCTCATGCATTGTTCCCAGGAGATTTAAACATCATCTGTAAAATTCTTCGGAGAGAGGAGATGATGAGAAGCCTGCACCTGGTCTCTCCTGGACCTTGGACCTTGCTCTATGTACTTTTTTCTGCTGCAGATTTTTTTCTTTTTCAGATCTAGACCTGCAGACTATTGCTGACTTCTTTTTTTTTTTTTTTTTTTTTGAGACGGAGTCTCACTCTGTCACCCAGGCTGGAGTGCAGTGGCCCAACCTCAGCTCACTGCAACCTCCACGTCCCAGGTTCAAGTGATTCTCATGCCTCAGCTTCTCAAGTAGATGGGATTACAGGCACCTGCCACCACAGCCAGCTAATTTTTGTATTTTTAGTATAGATGAGGTTTTGCTATGTTGGCCAGGCTGGTCTTGATCTCTTGACCTTAGGTGATCCACCCACATTGGCCTCCCAAAGTGCTAGGATTACAGGTGTGAGCCACCAGCCCATGAATACAGACAGTAGCCACCAACTCCCTTGTCATAACACACACACACACACACAGTCTCCATTCCACCATTTGTCTTTTATTTTTGCTGCTTTTTAAAAGGAGCTAATTTGTAAAAAGTCGGCATTGTAAAATTTGTTTTTTCCTCTCTGTAGAGGTCCTAAGTATGTGTGAGGGTTTTGTTCTTTTTATTCCTTTTATAAGCTAAACACATTATTTTTTTTAACTCAAGTTCCACACTTATTTTTTACATAAGCTCACAAGGGAAAAACATGGGACTATATGGAGTAAAATGTTGTGATAACCCGTTTTTTGCCAGCTAAAACT